GACCACAGAGGGAGCAAACCCCTTGGTCCCAAGTTCTTACCACTTGACCACCACTTAGATAGTTAGACACAGCCTCTTTTGATTTGCCCGCTGGGCTTCACACAGCTTGCATTTTTTAAGCCCAGCTTGCATTTTTTAAGCAAAATCTTGTATTGACCTATCTGTGACAAGAAGGGAAGAATCAAATGACAAATCGTAGAATGCAGATAATTTTGCTATTCTCATAGGTATTCTGATTTTTGATTGCTTAGTTCTCTCAGTATGCATTTGCTGTTCTTTGATGTACTTATTTGCTTTTTCCTCAACTCAACTTGCCCCATGCCTATAATATCCTCGCTATATGCTGTATAGAATTGCATGTCCAGATATACTTGCAGCTATTCTTCTTACAATTTTGTTGCTGTGCTTATAATTGATATGGCCATACTTCTTCGAAGATAAATTTCAACTGTTTCAGCACTTCTTTTGAAGCTTGAGAAGCTGATCGCTGAAGTGCCCTTTGAATCCAAGGAATTGGGATTCACTAAACCAGGGTCTTAAATTTATGAACTTTTAGCTGATCTTAATATTGCAAACGACACTGCCACTAAGAGACCATTGATATAATTTAGGAAGCTGCTTTCCCCTTAAAGAAGTAAGCAGAACAAGGCAAAAAGCACTGGTTGCAGGCTGGAAAGCATTAGTGCTATCCTTAAAATAATTTTTAGAGAAAAGAACAATCTCTCATGCGAATTTCTATCTAGTAAGCTTGAATTTTATAATTTTGGTCATAAAATCATGTAGGACTTGGGTAGGAGCTTTATTTACAATCTTGTTTTCCCTTTTGATTTCTGTTTTTTTTTTTTTGTATCTAAACTTTTTTATGTTCCTCTTAGGGTTCATGTGTAGGAAGGTGACACAAATGCTGCAGATGTCTTAAAAGTTATTCAGGGCAAAATTATGCTGATGTTTGGGCCAATATGTCATTGTGCTTTATTCATAGTCTTATTCGCGAAATCTCTTTCAATTTACTTACCTATTTAGCAGCTTAAACTTGCAATGCCCAAGTTAAGTAACACATTAGTACTTGCATGATGTTTAATGTTTTGTATAAAAATCAACTCTTGGGAATTGCCGTAAGAAATTTGTCTTCTTGAAGAGTATTGCAGCCTTGCCTTTTATACTGAGCGATTCTGCTTGGTGTCTAAGGTTTTATTGTCGTTGCCAGATATTGGAGGGGCCTAGTAGTTTGTTTGTTTGTTTTTTTTTTTTTTTTTAACAATGGTGTTGGAAAGCTCATTATGGGTCTCTAGTTCCACCTGCAGGGTTATTAGTTCATGTAGTTTTCAGGTTATTTCATGCGCACTTCAATAAAAAAAGGGGAAGTGCAAAAAACATTATGATCCTAATTGATGAATCACTGACATGCGTAAAAAGGCATGTTGTCAGGCCCCAGAGAAAGAACTGAGAGGTAGGGCCAAAACTTGATTCCTCCCCATCCTTTTTCTTGCATCAGATAATAATTACATGAACATTATTCTTGTAGTTATAATTATTTTGACCAGAAAGTGAGAGTTTGGATTTCTTAATTCCATATGCTGATAATAATGAGTTTTCTACTTTCACCAAGCTTCATCAATCAGGTTATGGTACGAGGGGCTGCATGAAAATTGGAGAGAAGTCCCCCCACCCAAAAGAAAAAGAAAAAAGATTTGGTTTCCTTATTTGCTTAAATCATGACTTCAATTTTGTTTGTCCAAGATTATCAATTTTATTTTGGCCAATGTATCTTGTACTAGTTCAAAAATAAAATAACTCTGAATTTCTTTTTATCTTAATCAAGATCTTAACATGTTCTGGATTTCTTTGTCAAATTTTAGTTAGAACATTTTGGTTTTATTTCATTTTAAGAATAATGTTTTTTTTTAATTTATGGATTTTCTCTTTAATTTAACCTTTCAATACTTGTGTTTTGGTGTTTGAATTATATAATTTGTTGTTATTTGCTTTTTTATAGTTACTTTAATCTCATGACTCATGTTATGAGTGTAACAAATTAATCCGGTTGCCTCAAAGTTTTTTCTTTGTTTATTTATTAATTGATTTTTTTTTCTAGTTTTTATCATTCAATATATTCAATATTTGGTTGATTATGAATTAGATTTTATCATTTGTTTTGGTTTGTTTTTAATAAGATTATCTCAGTCTCATAACCGGTCCTCGAGTTTTGCGAGTTAACTTGGGTAGATTTAGGTCATTTTATTATGTCTTTTTCTTAGATAATTTTTTTTATCTAATTTTATCATTAAACAATGAGTTTATAAAAAATTAACTTTTATAATTTATATTGTTTTTTACTTTATTTAGGATTATTATGGTCACATGACCTTAATTGTGAATTTGAAAGGTTGAACTGGGTTGATTCAATATTGTGTCATCTTAATATTAAAAAAAAAAGATGTTGTCTTTAATTATTTTTATAGTCAAACTATGTTTTTATCACTTGTTAAGGTTGTTTTTAAATTTATCAAATTAATCATATCATATTGGGTCAACTTTTATATAGTTAAGTTATTTCTACAACAAAAACATTTGCTATGACTAAATGTTTCTTTTTATGTTAAAAAATTATTCGATCCACAACATGGACTAATGATTTAGTAGTTATTAAATAAGAATGTTAAAATTTTGGAAATATATTTAGATACTACATTATGTTTGTATAATTTTAAGTTAATTTATCTTTGGATTTCACACACACACTCACATATAACCATGGCACATTTATATGCTCCAAAAATAAAATGTATTATTTTAATACATGCATGCCAATCAAAATGAAATTAACAACCTTGGTTTTGCTTAAAAAAAAACCATGTATATTGTTTTTGGATTTCATAACTAGACTAATTTTTGCTTGACACGATTTATATGTAGTTCTTGTTAAAAACACTATTTATGTTATATTGATTTTCCTGAAACATAGATACACAATAGAATCAATACATTTAAATATTTCTTAGGAGTTTTGATAATTCTATTAGACAAATCTATAATTATTTAGGATTTATATGAAGATTATCTAAAGATTAAATATTTTTTTTTAGTTTTGAATAATTACTCAATGCTAGGATGTTGTAAATTACAAGTTGTGAAAGTGTTTAGTTTTTAACAGTAATTCATTTGAACCACTAGTAAAAAATCTCCTTAATCTTTTTAAGAAATATAAATTGTTATGTCTTTGAGTGTTAACTTTTTTCTTTTGTGTTTTTCAAGTGTTTTGTATTGTAATGTGTATCATTTAGAAAAATAAAAGGCATAACATTCTATTTATAGAAACTTTAATAATGAAAAGAAATATTAATTTGTCTCTTGAATAATATTATATATATTATTTCAGAATAATTTTAAAAACTTATTTAATAAAGTCCATACTTGATTTTTTCTTAGGTCTAGAATTGTAATTTCCTGTATAAATTATATTCTAGTATTTAATTTTTAAAACTTATTTACAATCAAGTTATACTTGATTAATCATTCTGTTTTCAGTTATGAAAATGGTTATTATATGTGTGTGACTTATTATCAAATAACTATCTCAACCCGATAGCTTAAATTGTTAGATGAGGTCCCATTATTATATATGTGTGACTTATTATCAAATAATTATCTCAACCCGATAGCTTAAGTTGTTGGATGAGGTCCCAACAAGTCCATATTATCTTATACTTAATTTTTATCAAATAAATAGAGATGATGAGATTCGAACTCGTGATCGCTTAGTTATCAAGGCTCTAATACTATGTCAAATAACCATCTCAACCTAATAGCTTAAAATGTTAGGTGAGGTCCCATGATATGATTTATATTATTCTCGAATACTTATTAAGTTTCTTAATAATTTAGCCTAAATATAAATCACAATCTTAAAAAAAAAAGAGGATTAAATAAATTAGTTTATTATCAATTTAACAATTGAATGATTTATTTTTTAAGATCAAGTATAATATATAACAATCTATTATTATTTTTTAAATATTAGAAAAATTAAAAGTGGTTTGATTTAACATTTTAATGATTAGTTTCTTAATATAATTATTACTCCTTCATCAATAATGTTCTAATTTAAACATTAAGCAAGAAGTATGTCTACTCTGTCAAATTATGTTTGTTTTCAATATTATAATTATTGATTTTTTGAATAAGATTTGAAACTATTTTCAAATTTTATTATACTTTGTGTAAGGATTTACAATCAATACTATTTGAGAACAAATATAATATTTTTTCTAATTCATATAGAATGATGAATTCTATCTTAATTATTTAAATACTTTCATGTAGTTCATGTTATACCTAATATTATTCCATTTGTTACTCTTGATTAAGACAACAAGTTGCAGGATCAAAATATATTATTTTTTTATATAAAATAACTTAGTTATTTATAATTTAAAAATCTTTTACACAAACATAACACGAGTTTTTTAATATACACAAGTGATCTTTTTATATGAAAATTTTATGTACATTAGTTCAGTGTATACATCTTCTAATAAGTACTTACATATTAATTCCAAGTACCTTTTATATTTCATTTTATGAGAACAACTATTTTTTTCATAAATAAAAAAAATATAATTTATAATTGTCTTAACAACTCTAATTAATATCTAGTTTTAATAAAGTATTAACCATGAATATTAAGGAATAATGCTTTAATGTAATATAAATTCTATAATTATAACAACTTTATAATTTTCTTTACAAAACATTTATGTTCCTAGAAATTTATCTTTACTTTAGAATTATTAATAAAATATTAGACATATTAATTAAATATTTGATAAATATTAAAAATAAGTAAGCCTTTATTAATAATTAAATATGTTTATATGAACAAAGTTAATACTATATGTAACCAATCGATTGACTATATAATATAAATACCAACATACTATGCTTGCCAGGTTATTTGAAGCATAAATATTTGGATGAATAGACACTTACAAAAACATGGATTCAAGGTACTGTATATCTTCATATTATTTGCTAATTATATCTAAAAGAATATCGATAATTTTCTAATTCAGTTGGATGTTGAAGTCGTAGATTCTAAGATGAGAAGAGTGGTATAGTTTACAAGCACCACAAGCTATAAATCAGGTTGATGGATATGTAATAAGTCATTGATATGATTATAAAATAATTACTTTTTTTTGATGAAAAGTTTTTTTCTTAAATACTAATAATTAGTGTTGTCTTCATTGAAATTAACACACCTCTTACTTTAGGTGATTATACTTATCACTTTAATTTTTGTGTATTTTTGTGTATATGAGTCACTTTTATTTTTTTTATTTGATTGTATTGAAAGGCCTAATGGATGAATTTAGCTAAAGAAGAATAATAAGAAAAGAGGGCAAGGGGCCAATGAAATATGATTCCTATACGGTTGTACTTAAAGTCTAGGATTCTATGGTAAAATTTAAGGCTTCCTAATATATATTTTTTTTAAATTTACACTAAGTGAAACTGGTTTAAACTTTAGATTTTTATGGGTTGACTTAACTTCTAAATCATGGGCAAGTTTGAACATCCTAATCACCATTCCCAAATATTACTTTGGATACAACCTCACATCAAGGTATAGAGGTATGGATTGTATGTTTTGGAATAACTTTTTTTTGTCATTTTTTATGAGATGGAGAAAATCTTGGTGATGTAAAGCTTAGATTAATACAAAGTGATGACATTTATAAAATATCTTCTAGTTTATCAATATGATGAATTTTATAGTTATTGTTTGTGTCACCTATTTTATTACATAGAAAATATCTGATAATCTATCTAACTGTAAGGAGATTACTCCTAAAAAAAATACTAGTAGTTGGTGGAAAAACATTTTTATATATATAATGATTTTTCTTTTTTAAGATGTAATATTTTTTTTTTTAAAGTTAACCAATTGCATATGCAACTTAAGTTAGGCCAAGTCAAGTTGCTTAACTCATAATCTAAATCTTGAATTAAGCTAGGTCTTGTAATTATGCTTAGAAGGTCTCAAGTTTAGATATCCCTCCCTTCTCTTTCTCTTTCTCTCTTTTATATATATATAAAGAAAACTCATCAAGAATAAAAATATCAATCATGTT